AGTTTCTAGTTGTAGTAGAAATTATACTTACCTGTTGAACACCGCTATAAACCTGTAAAGGATCCCTGTAGCCATGTTATTGTTATAGTACTGCTGTTAAGAAGGCCACGGTACTGTAACACTACCATTGTTTTTTTTAAGAATCGAGATCATAATTATCATCACTATTATTGTCTTCAATGCTATTATCGCTTAGATGGCTTTCAGAGTCAGAGTTAGGCAAGTTTTTGTAAAGATCATCAACATCCATCAAATCTAAAGATCCAACTTGTGAGTTTGCAGAAAAGGCGCAAGCATCTTTTTTATTCTAAAAAAAAAAATAATATTAAAATAAAATAAATATAAAAAAAACAATTAAAACGAATATACCGTATCATTTGCTTCTTTTAAAAGTTTTTGGTACCACATATCAACAACGTCAGAGTCAAGTTTCACTGAAAGATAATTTTCATCAAAAATAAGTTCAAGAACAGCCTGTGTCCAAATAGCATTAGCATGGGTACATTCATCTTCAGATATAAAAGCATATTTGATGATTAAAGCAAGAAAAGTATTTGAATTTGGGTCATTTGGATCACTTGGATTGTATAATTCTTTATAAACTTTCTTGAAGTCCTCTTTCCACCTTTTCATTTGTTCTTTAGCATCATGTTTGTTAAACAGTTTTACCTTACTAATCAAAAGGTACCCCAGAGACCTTCTTTAATTTGACGAACATAATACTCTTTATTAACATGATTTGCTGATAGCATCTATAAACAAAGTTAGTATACAAATTTAAGGTAGTCTGACAATCATTTTTTTTATAGATCATTTACCCGATATTATATACATAATAATAAAAGTAGTGATAATATTTAAGTAAATCACAGGTATATATTAATATAAATTGTCATCTGTTGATATTGGGTAAATTGTCTGTAAGGGAAATGACTATCAAGATAATGAAAGTAAAGAATACCAATACTGACATCTGAATAAAATTTTTCATTCTACAACTTATCGAATAAAATTCCTTTTCTTTCAAACATTGTAATTGCTTAGCACAATCTTTGTCATTTTCTAACTTATCTTTGAGCTGCTTTTTCACCTCTTCGTCACTTATTTACTTATGCTTATAAAATAATTCAGATAAAAGTTGTCTAATTGCTTCCTAAAAAATATGCAACAAATAAACATAGATATTAACATAACACAAAAAAGTAAATCTATTAATTAGTTTAATGAGAATCTACTTGAAACAAATAATCTGCTGTTTTCTTTGATACTTTTTCTCTTTACTTTTAACCTCAACAGAATTATATATTTCCCAGCATTATTCAACTTTTTAAAGATATTTTCAAGCTGTAATCATTGTTCATTTATAAGATATTCGAGTTTCACATAGCCTCTAGAACGATTCTCAAGTTGTGATTTATTACTTTGTCCAATGTGTAAGATCTTTGTCAATATGCATGAATCAGTAATAGGTTATTCTATTAAATAATATATAATTAACTTATATATTAAAAAAGTTAAAATAAAAATAAATTAAATAAATATTAATCTGGGTTTTTATCATTTAGAAAAGTTATGGAAGGGATAACAACTCAGAGTTAAGACTAAATTATAATATACATGTTAAAATTTAAAATATATAGTAAAAAAAAAAAAAAAAAACATACAAAGCCTACTAGTAATACTTTTCTACTACCTAATGACTTATCATTAGTAGTAGTTGTTGTATTATTAGTAGTAGTCATATTTTTAGTAGTAGTTGTTGGAGGATCAGGAGTTTCCATATTAGCTACTTGGCCAACAGCTTTTCTTTTTTTGGGTAAAGAGTTTGACTCTAATGATATGTTTAATTTTGTTGCTTGTACTGAGGTGGTTGATTGTGATGATATAGTTAAGGTGTTTGAAGTTGTTAATTTTGGCTGCAACGAAGTTCAGAATGAATTGGTTGATATTTCATTATTGCCTGTTGTATGTTGTTCGGCCGATGATTATTTAGGTTGGCGCAAAGAACTAAGATTAAAGGATATATGTGTATAATTAGTTTTTTTGCCTTTTCTTTTCATAGTGAGTTAGTGTTAATTGACAAGAGCAATAAAATGAAATCCTATCATTTTATATTATTCTAAAATCAATTATTATGTATATTGCTTATTAGTCACGTTAGTTATCTGAGTTGAAATATACATATGCAAACTAATTTGAAAATACTTATCATCTTACATTATGCGACATGGTTACATTATTAGATTTCGAAATTCTGATCTGAAATTTTGTAAAAGAATTTATTAATAATTACGTAACATGATAGAGAAGGCACCAACAGATAACAAAGAAAATTTACAACAAATATTAAGAACTTCGACTTTCCGATTTTAGGAACTTTGTAGAATAATTCGTTAAATAATAGAATTTATAATTTATAACTTATTTGTAAATACATTATATATACCAGATTGTACTTATTCAAAATATTTAACTTACAACTCATACGTCTTATAATTCTTCTTTGGATGACTATTATGATGGCCTTTTAGATTAATCAATAGAGATCTTTAATAATTAATCAATAAATGAATCATTTAGCTTATACTATGAATAAAGTTGATTTCTTACCCGGAGGGATAGGCAAAAAAATTCAATAGCACAATTATAGTATTATGCTCTAATCAAAACAAAGAGAGAATTAAATACTTATTTAATATATTCAAAAATATATATATTAATGATAACAACTTACAATAATCTATAGGAACAATTCCTTCTAAAAAATTAATTATAATATAAATTTTTCTAAATTTCTTAAAGGACAAATTCTCGAATTTTGGAATTGTAATGCTTCTTAATGATTCGATTAATTTTCTGGCAATTTGTTTTTGAAATTCATCAGCCAGTAACTTTTCTTGATAAATATAATTAGCTTCATATGATTTTTATAAGCATTGAATTCAGATTCCAAATTTACATCCAATTTTAAGGGATAATATAAATTATTTGCTTAATAAAAAGGTTTCTTGAATAAAGCATATTCATCTGGATGCAATTTGCTAAAAACTTGATTCATAAACATATAGATACACATTGATTCATTCATCTGTACAAAAAAAAAGTCAAAAATTAAATATTAAATATATTAAATAACAAAATTCAAAATTTTCAACTTGACCTACAGTTCGATGTTTTTGCAGACATGCATGTCTATTATAACAAATAATAATTTTAAATAGAGTGTTAAATGGTGTTCAGAGTGTATCATTCAACGTGTAAATTGTCTTGTAAAATTTGAAATTTTCAATTTTTTACTTTGAGCGATATAATAAATTTTTTTTTAAAAAGCAATATTATGATTCAACAGAAATTTTACTATATGTTGTGCACCATTGCTTGAAGTTTCTTGTCTACTTGATCTAGGCACAAATTTTTGGTTTGTTATAGTCATTTAATAGTATATTATAATTGCTTGATATAATATTGAAAAGAATATAAAGGATGAAAAAGTTTTCAGGCATGATTTCAAGAAAGCCACCTTACTAGTAGTCTTTTATTGACTATTGCACTAGAGTATTATTGATTAATATCATAGTGAAATGATCGTTGAATTATGTTATATTGAAAATCATATGTCGACTTATATTCTAATATAAATAGCAGTAAAAGCATTTTTATTAAATTACTGAATAGTTTGACTACACTAACTTTAGCTTGACTCGGGTATAGTATATTGTTTTTTCATTCTGAAATATAAAAAATTTGGGTTTTTCATTCTGAAACGTAAAAAATTTTGGGTTTATTCTTAATAAAGGTCTTAACTTGATTCAGTGTAGTATATTGGTTTTTTCATTCAAAAATATAAAAAATTTTGAGTTTTTCATTCTGAAACGTAAAAAATTTTGTATTTATTCTTAATAAAGGTTTTTTACTTCAATGCTATTATAAATATAAATTGTTATATTGAGTTTGTAATTTCAGCGAACAAGATGTTATAGGCTTCGTAACATATAGTACTATAATAAAAGATAAAGTATAGTTTATTGTTAATAAGGGATTACAATTAGAAATAGAATCAGCTCAATCAGTTAAAAATTTAGTTAAATTTTCGAAGAGCTAAGAATTATATATGCATTATTAGTAGTACAAATCTAACAAAGAATTTTGAATAAAAAGATCTGGTATAATAAACATAAATATCAGTATAAACCTGTATTTTAACTGTAGACTTTTAAACATTATCTAAGATTTTTTATCCAATCATAATTTTAACTCTATTATTAGATTTTAGTCTAACCCGCAATATTTATATAAGTATACAATGTACAAGTATTCTGAACCAAGCTGTAATAGATACTTTAGCCATCATTCTTCTTATTGCAACTATATAAAAACTCACAATAATATAATTAAAAACCTTCTTCAAGAAGCTACTATAGAAAAGAGAAGTAATATACTAAGAAATGTGCAGCAAGCTAATCAATAGGATGATGATCAACTAGAAGATGAAATTGGTGGTTTTGTATTAGGTTTTAGAGCAGAAATAGAAAATATTGAACCAGAATTTGAAGAACATATAGATTATGAAATAGACAAAATAACAAATGGTTTAGAGTCTGATTATAGCGAAGAAAGAAATGATAGAATTAATAAAGCAGATGATAGAGAAATAGACAATGAAGCAGATGATAAAAATAATGAAATAGATAATGAAATAGATGATAAAGCAGAATTTGAAGATGTTGAAGCAGAATTTGAAAATAAAATAGACAAAATAAATGAAATAGAAGAGTATATATTGTATGTAGTACATATGACCATTTATTAGAGTTGCAGGTGAAGCTAAGTTTGAGAGTTTGAGCTTACTATAGTTTCAACTTACTATAGTTTCAATCTAAGTTTAATTGCTATTGCACTAATTAAGTTTTACCATATTCAACAAATTTTGACTAGTTTCACTTCAACTTCAGCTAGTTTCGCCTATAACTCTAATATATATAAATATATATATATATATATTGTTGTACATATTAAAATATTTTTAAGACCTCAATATTGATATAACACAAACAATTATATTTATGCACATACAGATGAATATTGTTAATGTCAATTGTTTGAGGTTGAACCTTCATTAGTTTTTGAGTCTCTTAATATTAGATCAATAAACACTAAGAATATATCAAATTTTCCGAGTGAAGAATTTGGTGACTTTATGAAATTAGTTATCAAATAGAACTTGTCTGATACTTGCAGTGGTGAAATACTTTGTTTTTTAAACAAAGTATTATGTGATGATATAATTTTATCTATCTCAATTCAACAAGAGAAGCAGTTTTATATAAAATTATTGTACTGCATATTTCTTTTAAGAAAGTACCAATAATAAAATATGAAAAAGACATACTATTTAAATTAACATCCAATTTTTGATTGTATTAAGGAATTATTAACCAATAAGAATATACTTAATCATTGTGTTTTTAAATTTTCACAATTGTACTATGATAAACAATGAATATATAATGAACAATTTAATGGAGAATGGTGGAAAGAAGTACAAAAAACAATTTCCAACCAAGCAAATGTTCTATCAATAATATTGTATTCCAATGCAACCACATGTGATCAGCTCAGAAAGACAAATAAATACTCTGTTTATTTGATATTAGATAATATTCCTAGTTGGAGAAGAAATAAACCAGACACTAAGAGTCTTCTTGCTTATCTTCCAATCATTAAACCAAAATCAGCTATACAAAAAAATTCTAGTGAATTTTTATTTGCAAAATAGTTTGTATACCAATATTCTTTGAATGAAATTTTAAAACCAATACTTGATTATAAGGACAATGGGTTTGATCTTCAAATAAATAATAGAGATTTATAATACTATCTATTTATTTTAGCCTTTATAGATAACATTTCAGAATATTCATTGTTAACATTAACATATAATTCTGTTACTTGTAAATCTTCATATCACGGATGCTTAGTATCAGTTGATAAAATAAATGATATTAAGCTAAACAATAACCAGATTATTTTAAGAACTCCTGAACAAATAAAAACTATTATAAATCAAGGTCTTACAAAACAATATTCTATATACAATATAGAAACATATTCTGGAAATATCTGTGAGTATATATTAATATAACTTAAATTTTATAACAAATATATATAATAATATATTATATACTTATTTAATAAATATTAGCCAATTAAATATTTACCTAGCTAAAATTCTGGATAAGATGCATCACTTAGACCTAGGATTGTTTAAATACCAAGTGGAATATACCTACAAATTATTAAATAATACTTGTAGAAAAATAGCAATTGATAAGCTTGATATCCAGTTAGCAAAAATTTCAAGATTTCCCAGACTTAAAGTGTTTAATAAAGGTCTTGGAAATATCAAACACTTTACAGCTGATGAATTTCGCAATATGATGAAGGTTTTTCTTTTTGTTGTCAAAGGAATTATTATAAAGTATCATAAAACATTAATTGAAGAAAGTGTCACAAAATGATATCATTATGCACTAGTTGAAGTTTATTACCACTGGAATAAGATATATTTATTTAGCCGAAGAGAATATTTTTTAGAGTTAGATCTTGTTGAGTTTAAGGTAAATTTATTTATATTATTTTATTTGTTTATATTTTTTCATTTATTAAGATATATTAATTGAATTAATCTACTATATTACAGAATTTAATTATAAATTAGGCAAAATTATTTGTCAAACTTTTTAAAAGTTACTCACCATTAGAGCTTCAACTACCTAAATTGCATAATTGGTATTATCATGCTGTCGAAGCTATTAAGAAGTTTGGTGCTATTAATAGTTATACTACAGAAACATATGAAACTTTACACAAAAACTTTGTAAAAAAACTATATAGAGTTAGTAATAAGTGTAATGCTACTAAACAAATGATTCAAATGGTTAGTATATATTTTGTTTCAATTTTATTTAAAATTATAGTTATTTAATTTTATATTATATATATTAATTTTATATTATATATATATAGATATATTGCAATTTAATTATTAAACATCTGTCTTAGCATAAAAAATCTATAAATACTATTGAACAACAGTTTAAAGAACCTTTGATGAATGGACTTTTAGGAAAGTTTTCATTAGAAACAGCTGACAGTTTTTTTTCTTCATATATAACCAAGAAAAAATTAGCTTTTGAAGCTTTATTAGCCTTCAAACATTTTTTTTTCATTATTAAATAAATTTTTCGATCTATATGAGAATTTAACTGAAGATGTGGTAACAGGCAATACTACTATCAAGTAGTATAGTTATACTAATGTGACTACTAGTAAGGACTATATTAGAGCAACAAGCAATTATTATAATGAACTATTATTTAGTAATAAAGCAATCAGTGTAGATAAAAGTGAAGAATTTAAAACAGATAATGAAACTTGCTTTTGCAAAATTTGTTTATAATTAGTAATTTTAAATTTTATCTAATTTTTATGATATTAATATTATTTACTTTTAGATTCTAATATTGATTACTATTATTATTAAGATTATGATATCGATATGCCATTTAATATTGCACTTGTATAATGGTATGACTTTTGATACAAAACTAGCAATCAATTATATAAATATGATTGTCTATTGGTACAACTTACAGATACTTATGACTTTGTACCTGTTGAATCTATTGTTGAATTAGTATATATCATCAAACGTGAAGAAAAACATTGTTAATATTTATATGTTTTAAAATATTAATAGATAAAACTTTGTATTAGTATATAGTAAAATAAAAAACAAATAAATATTATATATATTTTAATTACTCTAAATAAGTTATTTATCTTTTAATTTCTTTTATTCATATTTATTAATTAAGTATACTAATCGAAGAATTCATTTGATATTTAATTAATTGCATTTATTTTTAATATATAATTATTTATATGTTAAACTTTTTATATAAATTATTTATCTTTTATTCAATTCATATTTGCTATAGCAAAAATTTTATCTAATAACACTATCTATAGTAAAATACTATACTCTAATAATAAAATATTGTGATCAAGATTAGATAGACTTGCACT